CCAGTTTGTCTGAACTGCCCCCTGCTTGAGGAGACTGGCCTGTCGTTTGGTTGGGTTTACCTGCAGTAGAGGACAGACAACAAAAAAAGGTTAATTGTACCTTGAGCTAAACTTCTTCCGTATATCCGTGGGACAATGCGCAGAGGGTGACCGTAAGGCTATATGATAACATTCATACAGATCGTGCCTTTTTTTCGAATTCAAAAAAATGGCTGCTGTTGCTAACATTGTCAAAAAAGTTCAGCAATCGCGCTTCATCGATCATTTTTCTTAAGGTCCCTGTCCTCCTTCTTACCATTGCATATACTCATGAACCAGCGGTAACGTCTCTGCTCATAATAACCACAAACCCCGTATATCACCAATACGAGCACATACGGGATAAGTATAAGAAGAGGACTTATAAAGCTGCTACTGCTCTCTGCTGATTTCTCTGGGGGTGAATCCCCGACGGATGTAGAAACGTCAGGCGAATAAGAGTATCGTCCCAGCGATTGAGTCGTCTTCTTCTGAAAGGATGAAATACCACGCAAATAAAAATATTGTTCCAGCGATCGCATCTCCTTTTTCTAAACTGTTCCCTGGACCTCAGCTCTTCGCCTGTATCGGCAACGTTCTGTAAATTGATCATGTCGACTGTCGTCAATCCCTTGCCGAAACTGTAAAAAATTCCGTTTTTTCTAGTGATTAAGAGAAGTGCTCCACCATGCGCAATGGAGCCCATGTGCCAGAACGGAAATGGATGAACACAAGGGCTGCAAGGCTATTAACCTATGGAGATTGCGCTTTTCCTTCATTGACTGATTCACTCATCATTCACCAAAATTGTCATTAAAACTGCAGCATGATACCAAAAAACTAGCAAAATTGCCGGGATGATGAGATGACACATCAAACACATTGAGCGAAGAATAATTCATTGACATTTAGGAGATATGGCAGTTCGAATATTGATTCCGGCAAAGTTCATCGTCTGCTACACAGCCAGGTGGCGCAGGCATGGTGTCTTACGCGTGGATTAATTTTAAACGGTAGTAAACTTGCTTTGCGTCTACCGCACTCCCTTTTCACTGACCCGCCTATGCCCGATGTCGAGATAAAGTCAAGAAGGCCAGAGGCGGGGTCAGGCGCAGGCAGCTGGAGCCGCCAAGCCCGAGTCAGATCCCAGGGAGGGGGAATGCGACAAAGGCCACGGTTGGCTGGTGCCTTAAACCGCATCCACGCATGCCGCCAAAGACCCCCCCCGCCATGAATGACAAAATCAGCAGCATT